AGTAAGAATTTTACCAAACTTTTTCGTCTACAGACCTTTCTCGGTATGGAAAAAAACCATGAAACCATTTATGGGTTTCGGGAACGACTGCTGAACCTTTAAGGTTCGGTCATGTACCATTTTTTTTAGAGAGTAGATCCTTCTTAGATTCACTTACGACGTTAGGCATATCGTTAAATCCACTTTTCTTAATTGCTTATGCGGATGAGAAAAGTTTTCTTTCTCACATAATCATCAAAACTAAGAATTCCCTTCATGCAGGGAGTTATTGTTGTGTACTTAATTCAAAGTTAAAAATCTCAGAATTGATCACAAAATAATTCCGGAGAGTATATTTTGTAGAGGAAAGTCTGCTCCATAACCCCTTATGCAAATCAAAGTTTTATCTCACATTTTAAAACTGTTGTCATCGGAATCAAAGAGATCTACGATCCCTTTTTTGCTTTACAAATCATACTTTTGTGCCCTTCCAAGATGTGCTTGGTACTCAAACGTCAGAAGTGATGAAATGTTTTTGAACATACAGTTAGAAACCTCGTCAAATGTCGATTGTCTAATCACTTTTAGCCAAAGACTCACTGGCCACAATAGGTAATCGGGTGTGCTGAATCCGAATATGACAATGGTTTTTTGCTGCTAGGCCCTGGAAGACTGAGTTTTCTAGAAAACCAGAGTTTAAAATTGAAAAACTTTTTGCTGCCAAAATTTTTTTTGATGCATTCAAATGCAAGAGCGCATCGAAAACCTATGAGAAACTACTTTTTAAAATTTTTGGAGCGTTTTGGAGCGGTTTGTATAGGTCAAAATCTAAAATACAGGCGGAAAACCGGTATTTCGTTCCTACGCATTTTACGTAAGAAAGTGAGTGATTTCTAGGTAATCAAGTGTGCTGATTCCGAATTTGAGCACGAGAGGTCTTCTCTCTAGCCACCGGAGTCTTTCTTACGTAAAATGCGTAGGAACGAAATACCGGTTTTTCGCCTGTATTTTAGATTTTGACCTATACAAACCGCTCCAGAACGCTCCAGAAATTTTGAAAAGTAGTTTCTCATAGGTATTTCGATGTGCTCTTGCATTTGAACGCATCAAAAAAATTTTTTGGCCTTTTCAACCTTAAACTCTGGTTTTCTGGAAACCCAGTCTTCCAAGGCCTAGCAGCAAAAATCATTGTCATATTCGGATTCAGCACACCCGATTACTTATTGTGACCAGTGAATCTTTGCCTAAAAGCGACAGTTGGTGTCCTTTCCTCGCTAGTAGAGTGCCAAACTAGAGAAAGAAACAACTTGTACTTACATGACTTCAGTGTGATTCGAACGTGGGTGTCTAGAATTAAGAAGCAAACACATAATCATCTGAGCTAAAGGATGATCGAAAGATATACAGTAACAATACCATGCGTTGCGATCACCCCAGTCAGACAAAAGACTGCTTCTTTATTCTATGACTTCTTAGTTTCGTTTACAAAGTAAACAAATCTTTTCGCCCACGTTCGTCAGAATAAAGTATTTCCGCGGACAATAATCTTCTTTCTCATACCTAACTATGTGTTTGCGAAAAATGAAACAGTCTGTTTGTCAGGTCAGTATTTGCGTTTCTCATCTGTGAATTCTGATAGTGAGTTGCATTTTATTAAGAAAGTCGCCAGATGTAAGTGATGTTTTAAGACAGGATGTTTCTCTTCTGTGTCATTCGTTTAGCAGTTCAACGTGAATAAACCTGCTGATACAGGTAGCACTGTTATTTTGAACAGAGTTAATTTCCGATCTCCTAGTATTATCTGTCACGCAACCAAACACGTTAGGTCACCAAATAATGGTCCTGTCAAATGCGTTGGTAAACGCAGCTGTTTTCTCCAACCCGTTTCGATGCGTTTATAGTACACCAACGCGTCAAAACGCGTTACCCTTCCAAATTAACCCTCTTTCAACGCGCGTTGACTCCAAAAAAGGCGCGTCTCGGTACTTCTGGTATTTAGTATTATTATTCTGTTTAATTTACTACATGAGAAATCTTCAGTATAAAAGCAAAAATTGTTAGTTTACAGAGAAGGCAACTCTAGCTGTCACTTCGTGGTATGTGATTAGATATGTTATGAGTGTGCGATTTGCATTGATTTTTTTATCTTTTTGATGTCTGGATGACAAGAATATGTTTTTGAATTTTTAAAGATAATTATGCTTTTTGCTTCGTGCCAGAAGCAACAGTCGAATAGTCTAAAAGACAAATAGTCGGATAGTCTAATAGTTCAGGATCAAGTCAGAAGTCTAACTGAATCCTCGAGTTCTACACTACTCTAAAGTTTTTCAGAAATCCTTTCGGAAAACCATTAATTTTTTTTAATTTTTTTGTGGATATCTTATAGCTAATATATAGAGTAGCACCAGTTCAAGTTGTAAATAATATTAGGTGAAAATAGCCTGAAAACATTAATTTTAGTACAACTCGGTTTTTGCCAGGTTTCTAAATTCAGAAAACCGGTTTGTTAAAAGGATTCCAAGTGTTTTTGATTATGAAAAAGAGCTCTAAAGTCTTGGATATTGAATGGCGAAAATCGTAAATCTCTATCACATCTCGTTCTTGAATTATTTAAAAACTGACAAGCTGCACTGCTTTTTTTACGTATAATAAGTAATAGACGAACGTAATCTCATTTTATCTATAGTTCCACTCTTCGCGTTCCTACTTTCGGACGTTAAATGAACAATGCTTTGATGCTCTTTAAAACACAAATGATGGTTTCCTTCGTCAGTAAGACTAAATGGTCCAGAGGAAGGTTCGAATTTATGAAACTTGCAAGTATTATTATAACGTTGGGTAGTTTCTGTTTCACATAAATTAATCTGATAAATCCCTTTAGTATATTCAGCGACTGTGAGCTAATCTATGAGTGGAATACGTAACTTCAATCTATCGTTACATTCACCGGATTCATTCTCATAATGAAAATTTTGAGTTTCAGCAATAGCAGTATTAATTATTTATTTAGAACAGGTGAACATGATCTTGTATTGAAACATGTTTTAGAAGCCGTAAAAACTACAACTATTTGTCAGTTGACCGTCAAGAGATTGACAAACGTTTGATTTTGACTGGTGATATATACCGATTAAAACTGGAATTTTGTTTGTGCATTAAAATATTTTTTAAAAGTTTAAAAGTATTGGAAACATGCCAATGATTTGATCATGTTGAGAGAGTTCAGCTTTGTCTAACATTGGTAGTGTTTTAACTACTCAAAGCAAAGATGATGCAGTTTTGAAATATCACATTAAATCATTAAAATGCATGAGACGATCTTACTAACTAGCAAAGGCGGCGGAGCGTCATGAAGCTAGATGAGGCTCATAGTATTTTTCTCCCCTTCAGCGTACTTTTGTGAAACACGATTGCTGATGTTGAAGCATATAGCGAGAAAAGTAAAGCATCCCCTTATCTGGAGCACAAACCATGAGAAACATGTCGGCATGCTATTCTAGATGCGTAGACCTCGGTATTTCGGATTATAAATGCATTTTTGGATTATAGATGGATTTGAAATTCAGAAGTCCAAAACATTTGTTTCCTTTCAATATGGGCTTGTGACTCCTGTCAGAGACCGTGATAGACATATCGACACGCTGCTTCTTTGTTCTTATCATGGATTGTAATCAACAGAGAGTCTTCCTGTACGATTAAAGCGACTCCATCGTGTTTCACATTTTGATCCCGTAAGGATTGCACTGAAAGCTTTTATCGAAACGTCGGTCAGACCGAATATAAATCTTCTTGTTTAACTTCAGAAACAACAGAATAAATCAATAGGACACACAAATAATTAAAAGTACCAAAACTCAGTTGACTCTGTTCGTTCTTCGACGTGAATATAGAACAGATGCTGTCCAAATCAATAGCGTCTGTCTTTTCCTTGTATGTTTGTCAAAAACAGAGGGCTGGGAGATGGTACGAAGTTTGTTCCGAGATGTTTTTAGCTTACATACAAGGCTACAGCTCTCATTTTAGCTCATTAGTCTTATTATAGTTGCGTACTTTTATATCTGTCACACTTTTAGCCCCTTAAATGTTTTACTACCTTTAGTCTTTTACTTCTTTTATTCTTTTATTCCCTTTACTCCCTTTACTTTTCAGTTTCATGCATATCAGAACTATTACCATCACTCTCACTTTATAACTAAAAGTAGTAAAAGGAGTAAAGGGAGTAAACAACTGAAGGATATACTCAGTCATCTATAGGTATAACTTTTTCATAACTAAAAAGATCTCGCGGCAAACTTCGTACCTTCTCCCATCTCTTCGAAAACGCGCTATTCAAACGACTTTACATCATTATAAACCGAGCATGAGACAGCCACCACGACCAATATTTATAAGAGAAGTGCATATGTTCGTTCTCTCCAAGAACAGAAATTGCTACCAGCGCATAAAAGGGCCTGAAAATCACATGTTTAAACAGAGTGTAAAGTCGAATCTAAGTGAGGCTCCAGCCTCACGGATCTCAGTGGCTCCACCGCCACTGCTAACTAGGCATCTTTATGTTGCTAAAAGTCGGAATAATGTTGAAGTGCCTTACAGTGGAAGTGCCCATATGTCTGCTTGACCACAAATCAACGTCTTAACAAGAAAACAAACGATTTCTGTTTATTTTTCGAACTGTGATTGAAGAAAATGCCATAATTCTTTTGGTCCGTTAAATTTCGTGTCTGTCAAGCCTAAAATACGCGGTGCTCTATAATTCGGTTGTGGAATCACATGTCCACCCTTATGTATTGTCAATAGGACGATTTTCGGTTTATTACCATCGTCGTTCCACGTTGTCGACTGACAGTTATTCGTCAGATATTTTGATGACACATGTAGAGAATGTAGTCCATATTGATCTGCAAAGTATTGTGCCGTTGACCAGGATGATCGTACTTGACCACGACTTTGAAAGCCCCAAAATGACACTTCTCCACCATTGTATGGATTTATCTTATCGTTTGTGCCGTTCATAATTAGCATCGGAATGGGCTGGTGGGTTAGTCGTACATCTGTATTACCATCGGTCGGTAAATTAGCCGATATAGCAGCACATGCCGCGAATCTTTCTGTCATTTCTAGTGCTAAACGAAAAACGAAATGACCCCCATTAGAATATCCAACAGCAAAAACGATACTCGGCTTCTGCTGGTCAATCAATTTTTGAATGAACCTTTTATCATCAATGTTTAACTGTCGTGCTTCATACGGTGCTTGCAAACGATTATCGTTCCAATGATTTTTGTATCCGTTCGGATATGCAACAATAAATTTATACTGATCAGCCAAACGGTCAAATTCATATCCACAACTTTGCCGCATTTTTTCACCAGTTTGTTTTGAACCATGAAATACAATGACTAGAGGACATGGATTTGACATAGAAAAATTTTTGGGATAATAACAGAGATATGAACGCTCAAAGGTGTCAATAAGAAATGTATACCGGTGTAACGTACCCGTCAAGTGGGGAATATCCATGTGACATGGACGAATATAATACCAATACAAAACCCAACATAAAACAATAATAAAAGCAATAATAGAAATTATTTCTAACATCGTGTTTTAACAAAATATGACATTTTGATGTGTAGGGTATCGGACAGTGTTTTATTTCAACGTAAGTTTATCGATAAGAGAAAAAGGTAAAGTACAGGTGAGCAAGGAAGAGGAGATAGAGTCAACGGTGAAGAAAAGCAAATTTTTTTATTAGAGCTGCGAAAAATAGCGATTTTCTTTTCTTATTCACGTTATATATAGTGTGTGCACAGTGGGTATTCAGGCGGACATTTAGTCAAAAACGCGAAGTTTACTTTTTCTTGATTTAAAGATTGTTCTATAAACTTGTTAGGAAGCGTAGAAAATCTCATTCTCTGACGTAATGTTCTCGTTCTCTGATGTAAATATCTTGTTAATAAAATATGAAAACATAATTCATTGTTGGCGCTGAGACAAAGAAGGATACAGGTTACGTATAAAACGCTACGCAACAAAACCTCAACTGATGGCCCATGTAATGGCAAAAAAATTTCTGTAGAAACCAGTTTCCTTACTGAAAAAAGTTAGCTGGAAAATTCTCACTGTAGTTTGCTAGCTACTTGGAAAGAATTAATTTTCTTCCCGTAGATTTGGGTTTAGATCCAACCTGAGGGTATATTTGGAACCAGCATAACTTGGGCTATCTACCACCATCAAATATCTGTCCCTCATGTGTTCAGATTCAAAATAAAATTAAAGTTTTTCTAAAAAAGTGCTTTTTTGAAAATGTGATCTCAGTACAGAGATTCCGCAAGTTTCTTGTTATGATCTGCCATTCCTGGCAGCTCATAAGACTGTGTTTTCTTCTTCTTCTCCTTTCTTTCTATTATTGCGCAACTCTTGTTTCATTCTTTCGTTTTCGTTTCTTTCTGTTATTGCGCAATTCT